AACAACAACAACAACAACAACAACAATAATGAATTGCAATTCTTTTTTATTATTTTGAAGCATCCCTACCTACATTCTTATTATGACTCTCACTTGGTTGTTAGGAATTATTTAATCTTTTTATTCTTTTAACCAGAATTTTTTAACAAAAGAGTTTTACACATTTTTAAGAAAACACATACAAACACAAACAAATGGAAATGTTAAAACCAATTTTTTTTTTTTTTGCAGTATACTATGTGTCTGACTGAGAATTATTTTCTGGGGATGACGTTAATAATAGATATTCTTTTTATATTGCTGCTATTGTTTGGTGGTGTTGAGAGACTCACAGAGATATTTTGACAGTAGAAATACCTCTTGGGTTTTTGTCTTGAATATAATCTTTACGGAAACGTATAATTAGCTTTCATCTTTGAGCAGCTAGGTAGACTTTGCTACTGTAGATTCTTAAAACAATGATGATAAAATACATAATGGAGAATTTTCATTGATTTTGGAGCAATGACACAAATGTTTTTCTTCTTGGAGACCTGCTGCATAGATGATTCTACATTTATAGGCAGTGTTTGGAGTCAGAAAAGTTTGAATTACATGTGAGAAAATAAAGGTTTTTGTTCATAATTTGAACTTGCTTTTGCCCAAGTTTTATCAGTGTAAGACAAGAAAATAAAACATCATTGTTAATATGACAGTGGTTTAAATTTACTTTGAAGGTGAAATAATATACTATGTAGGCCAGTTTGAAGCTTCATAATCTGTAGTTTTGGTTGTTAATTTACATATCAAGTTTGTGTTTTGTGCTTTCTCCTATAGTCTGACAGGAGAAAATAAGCAACTGAAGGATGAAAAACCATTCAGGAATTACAGAGTTTATCCTCTTGGGATTGTCAGATGATCCAAAGCTTCAAGCTGTGATTTTTGTCTTTCTGTTCATCACTTACATGCTAAGCATCACTGGGAACCTGGTCATTATTACCCTTACCCTGCTGGATTCCCACCTCCAGACCCCCATGTACTTCTTCCTCAGAAATTTCTCCTTATTAGAAGCTTCCTTCACAACGGTCTGTATACCCAAGTTTCTGGGCACCATCATTACAGGAGATAAAACCATTTCCTTTAATGATTGCATTGCTCAGTTATTTTTTTTTATCCTCTTGGGAGTTACCGAATTTTACCTTCTGGCTGCCATGTCCTACGACCGCTACGTGGCCATCTGCAAACCCCTGCATTACGTGACCATCATGAACCGTCGAGTCTGCACAATTCTCGTCTTTTCCTCATGGCTGACTTCATTTTTAATCATATTTCCTGCACTAATGTTGCTCTTAAAACTTGATTACTGTAGATCTAATATTATTGACCATTTTACTTGTGATTATTTTCCTCTGCTACAACTTTCTTGTTCAGACACGGAATTTTTAGAGAGAATGGGTTTTTCTTGTGCTGTGTTTACTCTGATGTTCACTTTGGCATTAATAATTACATCTTATATATACATTATTAGAACAATTTTGAGAATTCCTTCTGCTAGTCAGAGGACAAAGGCCTTTTCCACGTGTTCTTCCCACATGATTGTCATATCCATCTCATATGGCAGCTGCATTTTCATGTACATTAATCCATCAGCAAAAGACAGGGTGTCTTTGAGCAAGGGAGTAGCCGTGTTAAACACCTCAGTAGCCCCCATGCTGAATCCTTTTATTTACAGCCTGAGGAATCAACAAGTCAGGAAAGCCTTCACAGACATTGCAAAGAGGTCTTTGTTTTTTACAAACAAATCAAAAGATGTGGAGGCATGAATTAGAGGTTTACTGGAAGCTACATTTAAAGGATTAAACATTAATTTTCAGTTTTTTGTTCAAATCACAGTGGACTCTCTTTCATTTATACTCATACTTTCTCCTTTCTACTCCTAAAAGTTCACAGTAATATTTATTTTAATGTATTTCTTTTTCAACTTTAAATCTATCTTTCTTTTTTCGGACTTCTGAACAGTTTTGTTAATACAATTTCTTCAACAATAATTATATAAAAAAGCAAAATTGTGTATCAATGAATTTTAGAAAAAACAATGACCCCTAGAGTGTCAGAACACACTCTAATATGCTTCACTTTAAGATACAGAATATACATATTTTTAAATTTTACACAATTTTGGCAAAAATTTCCTTCATCATCTCAGAGGTTCTCTAAGAAACATGGGTGGAAAATGCCATATTATTTAAGGAAAAATACAAATGATTTAGTGTGAAAAAGAAAAAAAAATAAAATGGACATACTGTAAAATGACATTACCATATAATTCATCTATTAAATAAATAAACAAATCATTGTCATCATCAAAAAGAAGAATCTTACTTCTGGACCAATAGATGGTGAAAAGATTGAAACTGTCTACAACTCCTCTTACTTAGATCCATAATCAACACCTTTTGTACCAGCAGTCAGGAATCAAGACACATATTGCACTGGGAAAGTCTGTGGTCAGGGACCTCTTAAAATTATTGAGGAGTAATGATGTCAGTTTGAGAACTAGTGTGCATCTGATTCAGGCCATGGTCTTTCTGATCACTGGCTATGCATCTGAAAGCTGGACAATGAATAAGGATGACAAAAGAATTGAAACTTTTGAGCTATGAATTTAGAGAAGATTACTGAACACCCATGAACTGTCAAAAGACTAAAAAAATACATCTTGAAGAAAGTGCATCCAAAGTGCTTCTTGGAGGCAAAGATGATAAAGACACATCTCACATATTCCAGGTATATTACTTAGAGGGGCTGGCTATTCTTTGGAGATGGACGTTATGCTTGGAAAGGGAGAGGGTCAGTAAAGGAAAGGAAGATGATCAACCAGGTTGATTGACACAGTTTCCATTGCAATGGGCTCTAGTGTGTCAGGAAGTATAAGGATGGCACAGGATAGGAAAAGGTTCAGATACGTTGTTCATAGAGTACTATGGATTGTGCTTGAATTGACAGCATCTAACAACAAATTGTGGTTAACATTGATTGTGCTTATGTGAAACCTATACTTGGACCAGGAAGCACTCCTCAGAGCACAGCACAGAAACACTATAGGGTTCAAAATCAGTAAAGTAGTGCATCAGGGATACATCTTGTTTACAGAACTTTTCAATCTGTATGCAGAACACATAATTCAGGAAGCAGGGCTTTATAAGGAGGAGTGTGACATCAAGATTGGAGGAAGATTCATTAACAACCTACAATATGCAGATGACACAATCTTGCCTCCTGAAACTGAAGAAGACCTGAAGTGCTTGCTGCAGGAGGTTAAGGACTGTAGTCTTCAATATGGATTGAAGCTCAACGTAAAGAGGATAGAATTTCTCACTACTGGCCCAACTGACAGCATCATGATAGATGGAGAAGACATTGAGATTGCTAACAATTACAGCTTGCTTGGCTCCACAAACAACAATCTTAACACCAGCAGTGAGGAAATCAAAAGACAAATTTATTGGGAAAACCTGCTGTCAGGGACCTTCCCAGGGTGATGAAAAGCAACGATGTAGTCTAGAGACTAAGGGTTGCCTAACCTAGGTCACGGTCTTTGTAATTATTGTTATGCTTTAGAGAGCTGAACAATGACTAAGGGTGATAGAAGAAAAATTGATGCCTTCAAGTTGTGGTGCTGGAGAAGAGTCTTGAGCATACCATAGACTGCGAAGAAAACAAATAGGTCTGTTTTGGAGAGAGTGAAGCCAAATTTTTCCTTGGAGGCTAGAGTTTTGAAGCTCTGTCTCACATACGTTGGGCGTGTGGCCAGAAGAGACTTGTCCTTGGAGAAGGACATCATGTTCAGAAGGGTGGAGGGACAGTGCAGGAGAGGAAGACCCTGGATAAGATGGGTTGATACATACCTGGGGCAATGGGGGTTAGTGAGACTGACTCAGGACAGGGTAGGCTTCAGAGCTGCTCTACTTAAGGTCGTTATATGTCTCAGGTGACAGAAGGCACATAACAACAACAACAGTAATATTGTCATTTAGTTAGATCCTCCAGCAGGCTTTCAAAGGCTATCAATTTTATACGTGGAAATTGCATACATCTTCCTAGTGTGGTGCCCCTGGTGGATTTCAACTTGTAGAGAGGTACCACCTTTGAGTTAGCCACCCAACTTTTTTTAAAAAATGAATTTATTTTTATTATTATAATAGTTTATTTAAAAATATTGAATATATTGTTTTCCAGAACATATTCTTCCAGTTTCTTTCAAACACTCCTGCCCTCACTTTTTTATCAACTAAATCCTAGTGGCAAGAAGCTGTGCTGCAATCCCAAAGTTCAAGGTAACCAGATGCTCCATGGGAAAAGGATGGGCATTCTCCTCCCGTGTGCTTAACTGATTCGGAAAACCCATCGGAGGGTAATCTATGGATTAGTTTCAACTCTATGGTACATAAGAACAAACAACAAATCAGTAGAATCTTCTAGGTCCTAACCCTCCAGCGATGCTAGCTAAAAGGCCACACTTTTCTGGTAGTTAGAATCTATAAGCCATTCTTCAGGAGAAAGATGGACAACCTCCTCCCCTCTGCTTTATGTTATTGTTCTGTTCCCAGTAGGAGTTCAGAGACTGTAAAATACACAGAGGAGATTTCTTTATTTTTCCTCAGGAGTAGCTGTGAGTTTGAATCATGAGCCTTTGAGTGGGCAGCACAACTCATTACTACTAAGCCATCAGAACTTCCTCTGCAATATAGCTCTCATTGTAGGCTCAGTTATGAGTCAGTTCTGACTAGATAGCAATGAGCTGTGAGAAATCAATATGGATAGATAGTGATTTTTTTAATGTGCCATGAAGTCACTTGTGACTCATAGCGACTCTATGTACAACAACTCTGAACCCTACTCTATTCTTTGCCAACCTTACTGTCTCTGACACACCTACCTCCATTACCCTAGTCACTGAAACAATCCATTCTCATCAAGGGTCTTTGTCTCTTTTGATGTCTCTCCACCTTTCCAAGCATGATGTCATTCTCCAAGGATTGTTCTCCCCTATCAATATGCCCAAAGTATGTCAGACAAAGTTTCAGACTCCTTGCCTCCAAGGAGCAGCCTGGTTTTACCCTCTCTAGGATGAACCTGTTTGTTCTCCTAGCAGTCCATGTTATTCAGTACTCTTCTCCAGCACCACAGCTCAAAGGCATCAATTCTTCTTCTGTCATCCCTAGTCATTGTTCAGCTTTCTGATACATAGCACATAATTGCAAATATCATAGCCTGCATCAGGTGCACCTTAGTCTCCAAACTGACATCATTACTGTTCAGTACTCTTGAGAGGTCCCTGACAACAGCCTTTCCCAATGCAATTTGT